ATTTAGCTGTGTTCTGCTTTGTATGTGTTTTATTTTATTTGTTTCATATTTCATCCATGTTTACAATTATTAGAATAAATTTGCCAATAAATAGTTTGAAAATATATTTTTTGCATAAATTTTAATATTAATTTACAATATTTTCACCCAACACTAATAGCCTATATGCTGTCATAAAGTTCAGTAAACAGAAGCTGCTGCACACAGAGTTTCTGGGATCAGCTGACCTGCATCCAGAACATGATTTGCATAACTGTGGGTCGAACAGCAGGGCAGGTCCCGAAGAAAACAGCAAATAAATGGAGAAGCTAAACAACACAGTTAAACTGTTTTTGAAGCAAACACAGCAGGATAAACTTATGGACTTTGATGCGATCATCAGCCGGACATTGAGAGCAACAGACAGAGTTTTATGTCACGGGGGGAGTGCCGAGCTTGCTCGAGGCGCTAGAGATGCATGTGCTATATATGCATGCCTGCCTGCCTTCCTGCATGCCTTCAGTAACATGACGTGACTCCAGTTGGAAAAAAGAGCGCACAAGACACTTAATTTGTCTTAAAATACAGMCATTCTGACAAATAAGTAACTGTAACCTTACCTCAGCTTAGAAGGCAGAGGGTGTCGGTCTTTTCCATTCAAATTCAGCTATCGGAGCATGAAGCTAATGTTTACTCACAATGCTAATGCTACCCTTACTTTCTGGCGCACAAGAGGTAGAGGAGCCAAATGGCTGGCTCACTGCTGCCAACTAGTGGTCAGAGGTTAAACTACAACATAAAAATGAACGGCTGGCAGGAAAGTTGATGTTTTAAACCTTAATAAAAAATCGATACAGGGCTTTAGAATATTGATACAGTGTCAGGAAATGAAATATTGCGATATTTCAGTGTGTTGATATTTTCTTACAGGCCTATCTGTGATCTCAATGGGACTTGCCTGGTTAAATAATGATAAATTAAGAAAAATAAATAAATACAGTACATAGTGCTTTATCAAGTCCAGTGGGGACCCCAAAGCCTTTTACACTACAGACATTCACCCATTCACACACTGATAGTGGTAATCTACACTGTAGCCACAGCTGCCCTGGGGCACACTGACAGAGGCGGGGCTGCCATGCACYGGTACCACYGGACCCTCTGACCAACATCAGTAAGCAAGGTGGGTGAAGTGTCTTGCCCAAGAACACAACGACTGAGGCAGCGGGAACGGGGGATCGAACCGGCAACCTCCTGATTGCAGGACGACTCCCCCTAACCACTCYGCCACAAAAATAGTGAATTGTGCAGTACCTTATACATAATTGCAAAAATGCAAGGAATGCACATAGTACATGTTTCATGTAAAAGTTTTAATATATGGTCGTCTTGTGTTGAGAAATAACGGTCTTATAGCTGTACTGATTATTTTACTCCTTTCATGATTAGTTCTCTGTCTCTTATTATTGCTGTAAACAGCTTAACGTCCTATTGTGTTTCTGAACTAATAGATCCCTGGTGAAGAACTCTCAGAACCGCCAGAGCCTAGCTGGGTCTGCTCTTCAGGTAATGTTTTAAGCTGAATTTCTGGCTCTCTTATTTCAAACGAACACATCATGTGAAGCCGTGGGGAAACACAGCTGACATATTACAGGGGTTGAGACTGTTGAGGTATAAATATGAAAACTGAGAATGCCACTTTATTCTATTTTTTTGTTTTTTTTTTATCCCTCCTCTCAGAATGTTGGTCTAGACATCAACTCATTGTTCAACACAGCCTCCATAGGCAGCATTCCCCTGCACTCCCTGCCTCATGTTCTCCAGGAGCAGATGAATGGAGCTCTGGGTAACGGGTCCGGATACCAAAGTGACAGCAGTGCAACACAGTCCCCTCCTCAGGCTTTGTAAGTATTCACTGGCTTCTGTTCAGGGGGTTCCACTAAAGAGGTTCCAGTTCCAGGCTGGTTCTTTAGAAAACACTTAAGAACTAGCTTGGTTTGCACAGCTAGGGAGCATTGCATCAAAATACACTTCCAGTGTACTTGACACAAGTTGGGGATCCCATCACACCTCTATGAGAAAGCCAAGAGACRATTTGTCGCTCAAATAATTTGAACGTGTTCAAAATGCCTGCTGAGGAGCCTGTGAGCTTCTGCCTATCACCTGAAGAGGTAGAAAACCACTGAAAACATTCTGGAAATACTGTACCTCCCTGTTGCTGTTCACCAACTATACTTAGCACAAAATGTAAGGAAATTTTTGTTTGGTAGGTTATTTTGTTGTAACATTTCTTGGCAATTAATTTTATGGTGGCCACCTGATTGGCATCACCTGGGGGCATCAGAAGCTCAAAGCAAGTGTCAGTAACAACAGCAAAACAAGATGTTTAGCAGAGATTTGACAATGTTACTGCTCTACTGCTCATCCCATAAATGCACGTTCCTAGCAAATGTGGCACCATTTAAAAGGGGAAATCCACAGGCTTTCTAGCCTAGCCCTTGCCTTTCTACGCAGTTCCACTCAATTCTAGTTTCCCTTCACTGCTCTGTCTGGGATTTCTCCCATAGACAAAGATTTCTTTGGGAGCATTTCGTTCGGGCCAATCAGAGAACAGAACGTCAATTTTCTGCACAGTGTCTGCTAGTTATTTTAGCATACAGCAGTGGAGGAAGTGAATGAAGTCAGTCCGTGTTGATAAGGCTTCCAAATTAAATTAAATTTGTCTGACAAAGCAGCAGCTCTCATTTACAGTCGTCTCGTTCGGCTCGGTACGTCTCTCCTCTCAGTAGGGTTGTTTACAGCGCACGTGATTTCCTGTTAGCTTCTTAGCTTAGCCTCCTTCACAGTGGAGATGGCAGACACATACATTACAGCCAACCAATCTAATTATTTTAAACTTCAGCAGAGGCCACGCCTCCAGCAAGAATAATTTCTCTATAGCCGAGAGTCCAGACCCTCGTATGAGGCAAAGTGAAGGACAAGGGTCTGGTTTTAACCAGGCTACAGGCTTTCCAAAGGTATATGATTTATTGCCAAGGAAAAAATAATTTACCAAACATAAACTTCCATAGTTTTTGTGCTTAGAATAGTTTCAGCACAAGTCTCTTCGACAGGACACTTCAGGCAGAGACTTSGTCGACTTCTGACCTCAGTGTGACTTCTGAATAGACCAAAGTGGTGAGGGGATGTTGAAGCCAGCTCCTCTCTGATTCAATGTTGGACAAAACAGTTGACATGAAAAAGAAGCCGGTGCCGCGACTCAGTAATGCGACGAATTGATGACATCTGGTCTGCGCAGTAAAGCGGCTGCAGCATTAAACTTCAACCAATAGATTTCTTACTGAGGGAAGCTCAATAATGACGCGCAGAAACTTTGTATTAAGTTATTTTTTTAAATGACCCACAAAGAATACAAGGGAGACGTCTTTATCACGGTTAATGTGTGGCACGCCACGTCCGTGCAGCTGAGTTCTCGCTTCAGTTCTGAATGCTCACATCTGTAGGACAGCTGTGATTTATGAGCATTCAGAGGAAGGTTGAAGGCAAACTGGTCTGAACTGCTCTATAAAGCCTCTTCGCCGTCGTCAAGTCTCACTCTAACTGCTTCATGTTTGTTCAGCTCTGCTCAAGTGTAGGTGTGTCTCCATGGCAGTGTGTCCCTGCCAGTTTCTCCTGAACCATCTGGTATACCTGCTCATTTCGAACTGCTCCAGCAAGCTCGAGCTACTGGTGCTCATCCCCTGAAATATACTTAGCAAAAAAAGTAAAGAAATTTGTTAGTTTAATTCTTTGTTGTAACAATGCTTCCTTGGCAATAAATACCACTGGAAAACCTGTTAATTTCCCTTTTGAAATGGTAAGGATCATGCATTTGTGGGATGAGCAGTAGAGCTGAGTGTGGGTTGCGCAAAGGAAGAATTTGCCAAATCTTCTCTGCCAAAAAGCTTATTTCATCCAGTATAAGATTTAATGCAAGGAAAGCATTGTCACAAATATCTACCGTAGGTCACAATGACAGATTTTGCTGGATGATAAATTGTATCGGAAATTATTGCAATAATCGATGATATTGTTCGAAGACCATTTTAAACTAACATAATGATATTGAAAGAAAAATTCTTATTCAGTAAACTGAAATCGATATTAAAACCACCATTGTTAAATAAAATGATTTGTAGAGGGAATCAAACCATGCAACACCAGAATTCTGGAACTGAGTGAGGTTTATCGCCACCGAAGCTGACAGGAAACCACACTGGCGAAAAACCAGGAAGTTCATCAATTTATACACGTTCTTCAATGCCTGCGTTCGCCCCCTACTGACCTACGGCTGAATCACAGGCATTCAGACAAAATGCTCATTTAATGTCATTATAACGTTTGATTATGTGTTGTTATATAATTCGGACATGTAACTAATCTATATCAATCAAAACGTAATAGATTAAACATTGTCAACATTACAAAAAGGAAAACCTAAAAATATAGTGTTGTGCTTTTAACATCAGTACTAACCTCCAATAACTATAAATTTCTTCAATATCCTTACCCCTGATTTCAAAGCTCACGGGAATTTCTGAAATTTACGTAAACTTACAGATGGACAAGGAACAGCGTTTGTGAAAACAACACCCAACAACAGCTAGTGAAGCTGTAACATCACTACCCACCACTATCCAAGCTGGCACAATTTATTCTTTATTTGTCTTACTCTGGCTTCTTAAAATAACTGCAGTCACCCACATGCTGCTTACCAAGTTTAAGAAATTTACGTATTGTTAAAAAAAAAACACACAACACTTGGTAAATTCAAGGTTCAACATGAGGGGGGCATCCTGAGGCATCGCCAGCTGAAAGAYGGCGTCAGAAAATCAAAGATGTTCCTCCAGCTAAATGCCTGTTCACAAGGGTCTCATGGTACGGAAGTTATGAGACCATGACCCTGGCAAATACTCAGCTAACAAGTAAAAAAGAGCAAGACACAAAGAAAACAAACAAGCAGGCAAATTAAAATGATTGACATCATTTTTTTAATTTATCGTGCGATGAATTGATTTATTACTCATCGTGACGGGCCTAAAAATTGTCTGCAAAAACACATTTCCTTCTTTTTTTTCTGCCAAGTTTGGATAAAAAGGGTCTGCACCTCTCTTCAGGGCRAGTTTGCAAGTTCCTCCTTGACTCAGTCAATCCATGGGCTGCAGTCTGCCGCCGTCAAAAGCTCTCGCACCAAATACTAAGTTGGACCCACCTGAAACCACAGCTGGGGTGGATCCATTTGTCTTAAATTATGCAAAATAAACATTTTTGTTAGTTGTTTATCTTGAGCCCAGCAAGTCCTTGGTGCTGAAGTGAGAGCTCATGTTGGTGGAAGCTGAAATAGCTGGCGCGAAAGTGGCTCTGGTTTAGAACGTATTTATATCAGCTCAGCCAAATCAGCTTTTCTAACTTATGTGTTTCTCCCGCTAGCGTTAAAGAAGAGCAAGAGGACGAGGAGATCTGCGAAAATTACCCCTACGAGTCTCCGGAGAGCACAGACGAGAACGGCCACAGCCCGGAAATGATCCCGGATGAGTTCAGCAGCAGCCCGGAGCGATGCAGCCTTCACCTGGACCGTGTGCCTTCTCTCTGACGACGAGGTCCTGTCGCTGCGCCGCAAAAAAGGCCAACTCACTCACAGCCCGTGTGACTTTGTATTTAAAAAAAAAAAACACAAACAAACACAACAACAGCTTCATCTATGTAACCAAACACTCTGTACTTGGGATTTTTTTTTATACTTTCTAGCATTAGGTTTTTTTTTTGTGTTAATTTAGTTCTCAGCTATTTTTGTACAGGTGATTGAGATCACAATAATACATTTGTGAAACTGTTTGTGATTTTCTTGCTTATTTTATACAGCGTATATATTATTATATATATCTCTACACGAGAGGACCATGATAAGTGGAGAAGCCAAAGGAAAGGGAACACTGATCAGTTAGCACTTCACAATGAAAGTTCCCCCTCCCCTTCTTCATCGCAGCTTTGTGCTGTGCCGGGTGGGGGGCAACACTACCTGATTTTATTTTACTAGTCATAATATATATATAAAGATTTGTAGAAGTTCAAATAAGGAGAAAATATTCACTGCCAACACAATCTATTTGTATTTAAGGTCTAATCAWTCAGTTGATCAGAATACGCAGCTTCGTTAGCCTTGTTTTAGTTTCACCTCTTCCATGAACGTTGCTGAGTTTTGCTCTAACCGAGCTTGTAAGAGTAGATACTATAGATTTATCATTATTGTAAACTAATGCATCTCTGTCAATATTAAATTGCTCTTGATCTATGTGAACCCATGTACATGTCTTTGATTTAGAGCACGTTGTTGAAAACGGGAACATGTCTTATTGTTGCACATGGTGGAAATCATAGAGTTCAATAATACTAGAGTGAGCTCCACCTCTTTCCACTGTTGGCATCTGTGTCAACAGGGAGGAGTAAAAATGGCGACCAAACAGGGCAACGGCTCCCAGCTGACAAAGCAACTTTTTGATTAACAGCAAACCCAACTGGATCTGTGTCTCACTAAACTGATAAACCGTATTTATTCGTGTATAATACGTAAAATGTAATCCATCAAATCATCCAAAAAGTTGGGGGGTAGTATTATACTTGGATAAATATTTTTACTTATGTATTTTAACTGAAATATCAGCAAAATTATTGAGTCCGGAAATGAGAGACCACATCACAAAAAACAGCTGAAGCAAGCTCACCTGTGACAGTCCTCTGTTCTTCAGAGCGAGATAGTAACAGATTCAGGCAGGCGACATGATGTGAAATAAAGCCGGGGGGAGCAGGGGGGCAGTCCTGCAGCTCAGAAATTATTAAGTCCGGAAATGAGACCGTGTTGTAAAAAGCAGTTGAAACGAGCTCACCTGTGACACTCCTCTGTTCTTCAGAGCGAGATAGTAACAGATTCAGGCAGGCGACATGATGTGAAAAAAAAGCGGGGGGAGCAGGGGGGCAGTCCTGCAGCTCAGTAATGATAACAAACTAAAGACATTAGCGTGTGACCGAGCCGCTGCTGGAACAACAACAAACACATGTCCGTCTGTAATGGCTGCCGTCAACCGGTGTTCTAAAAAAATTTGTATTCCTGAAAAAAGTTTCCCCACCAGAGGGGGCGCTCGCGAGTGGGAAGTAATCTGCTTGCATTCCCTTGAAGATGGCCCAAATCTCATGTGAAGTCTCTGACTTTTGTGTTGGCGCATCCTGGTGGACTTTGTGTAAAATGCCAGAATTCATATGATGCTCGAAATCATAGTTTGCTGATATATATTTGTTGTCAAAATACCTTTTAGTGCATATGTTGTTAAAATAAAATGAACAGTCCAGTTATCATTTTACTGATATATATAAAGGCTGCAAAGGCTGAAAAATCTTGAAGTCTGTATGGAATTGGAAGTAGCTTGAGGATTCAATTTTTTATGATTTTTAAGCTCAAAAAAGGCGGGGGGGGGGGGGGGGTCGTATTAAACATGAGATCGTATTATACACGAATAAATACCGTAATTGTTAATTATGATAATTTCATTCAAAAATCCTATAAAACAGCTAGATAAAGGAAAATGTTATAAGTAACAATGATGTAAATCAGACAGGAAGTCAGTCAATAACAGACTTTTTAACTAATGGAAAAATGACGACTTCACCTATTTATTATTTCTTACTGTCATAAACATTAATAAATTTTACCAGTCCACACTAAGAAAATGTTCACTTCATACCCAGGCGTACTTTAGTAAGAAACCTTAAGCTAACCATCTTCTCAGCAGTTCAGGTTTGTCAAATAGAAACCTAAAAATAGTCAGAGATATAATTGCATTTTACACTGTGAAAATATTACATAAATCAGAGGCAAAACCAGCTTATAATGTTAAATCATTTTTGCTAAATTTACTTGATTCAGCAATGCTACATTCTCAAACAATATATGCTAAAGAAGCTTAAATCTGTTAGCCAATTCAATAATTAATAGGGATTACATCGGTTTTATAAACTCATTTTAATTTTAAACTGGTAAATTATTAACTTCATTTCTGGTCAGATCACATCCACATTCAGGTAAATAAGATTTTTAAAAAATCTGTGAAACAAGGCACATTTTCCTGTTTCTCTTTTATTGGTAAATCCATAACACACACAGCATACATTAGATAGCTTATCAGGGGTGCCCAAACATTTTTTCTGATAGGGCCAAAATTAAAATCAGTCTGAGGGCTGCAGGCCAAACGCAATAATATGAGAAATGCAAATACTTAAGTAAAGTTGTTTTATTTTTTATGATTAAGCTAATAGCCAGTGTGGTTGCCTACATTCCTAAGTTTTTTTTATTATTATTCAGCCCATGGACGTGGAGAAAATTCAACGTATGGTCAGGCAGCAAAGGCTCATGGGACTTTTCCTGATTTACAATTTGAGCATACAGCGGGTAAAATAAGTATTGAACACGTCACCATTTTTCTCAGTAAATATATTACTAGAGGTGCTAATGTCATGAAATTTTCACCAGATGT